ACAAAACACCACGGAGGGAGGGGAAGGGGGGCGGGGCACTGACGTACACAGCCAGAGGGCATGGCCGTGTACATCAGCTTTACAGACAATGGGCTTTATTTTTATATATATATATATATATATATATAAAAATGAGGGAGTTTGCACGTGTCTGTTTAAGAATGCCTCCTGAACAGTAAAAGCTAAGACCACCAAAATTCGTATGCAGCTTCCTCTTATAACTTAAAAGCAAGGTAAAGATTTGGTTGTGCCAGGACAATGGGATGTGATCCTCTCCATTTGATGAGAAACACAGGGGTCTGCCAGCAGGCAGTTATACTGTATAATGACCAGACGGGGCAACAAGGGGCCAGAAATGAGGACCAGGGCAGCTATAATCCCGTGAGGGTGACAGGAGTGGAGAAAGGGAAAGCTATCTACTATGAAATTCAGAAAGTTTGTCTATTTGTGTGTCTTTTCTTCAACTAGGGGACACGCACCTCTCCCACAGCTACGTCAGCTGCAGCAGCCATGGACAGGCACTTCTCACCTGTCCCAAACCTGCTATGGTGTCAGAGGGTTGGAATTGTTCTCTCCCCCCTGTGGCAGCCTGCATACTGAACCCCTCAATCTCCAGCCCCACCTCAGAGCAATGATTTAAATGAAGCACGCACATCTTCATTTTATTGTCCAAAAAACAATTAAGATAAAGACCCAAGCATCACTGGGTCAATCTCCTAGTGCAAAATAAGTTATTTAGTAAGGCTACTAACTCTATCCAAGTTACCCACAAACTCCATCTCAAGGTGCTCACAATTCTATACTACAGGCCATGTAGTGACAGTCAAGCAAAGAACAATGCAGCACGAATTTTACATTCTTTCCTGACAGCACCTGCCACTCTTCTGTTAATGGTTTACCGCCTTTGTACAGAGTAGTTTTATTCTCCGAAGTTTGGAATTTTCCTGCAGTGTGTCTTCATGTGTTAGCACACGAGTGGGCAAAAGGGACCTGCTGCTTCCCCACCCCAGGTCCATGGCTGCCTGTCCATGGCTGCAATCAGGGCTTGGGGCAAAGCATATGAAGTTTCCTCAGCCCTGCCCTCTCCCAGCCAGGAGCATGTAACACTTCTAAGCACTGTGTGCTCTTTGCAGGGCAGGAAGAGACTTCACACGCTCTGTCCATAGGCCAATCAGGGCTTGGGGGTGGTAGAGCACACAGTCTCCTCCTGCCATGATTGGCCTGGAGACAGAAGCAGGAGCATGCAAAGTTTCCTCCCACTACCAGGGGCATAGACTTCATCTGCTCCACCACCACCAGACCAATCATGGTCTGCAGGTGGGGAAGCAGAGAAATATCCTGGCCCTGCCACTTCCTAAGCAGCCTGGGGCCACTTCAGAAATTTTTGAAGTTGCCCCCGGCAAAAAAAAAAAGTTACTGCCCACCCCTGTGCTAGCATGAAAGAGTGGGTGGGCATTCCTCCTCCTCTTCCTACCCCGAACAGAGACAGAAGGGACACAAGGAGTGGGAAACTTGTAGCCCTGAAGGTCTGTACTCTGATTTCCTCACATCCTCTCTTTTCCTTTGGTCTTCTCTAAGAGATCCCAGCAAGGAGGGCTGGACACAGCTTTTTCCAGGAACCCAACAGTACTGCCCTTTTCTTCAGAAATGGAGAGTTGCTCGCTAACTGGGAACACTTCTCTGGTTTAGAGATGTTAAATATTGGTTAACTGAATAGTGGCATAACCTCATGAATTCTAATTGGTTAGTCAATTAGCCTTGTCCCCAGGGACTATAGACTAGCAACCAGTGCACTCCTGCCTCACTCCCGAGACGAGGCATCAGATGGGAACTGGTCTGTGGGGGGGAGCCCATTTAAAAACCAGCTCCCCTCATGGACAGGATACCTGTCACCCTGTGCTGATGCCTCTGATAAAAAGAGGCAGCGGTGCAGGGTGGCAGCAGCCCCTTTCTAGGGAGCACTCTAAGCTCCTGGACCCAGCTCGAGCTGGAAATGAGCTGGGCTGCCTTCCCACCTGCTTCTAATACTCCTGCTGCAGCTCTGCATTTAAAGTGTAGGTGTCAGATCCAGCACAAGTCAGGACTACTGGCCAGCCTGCTAAAAGTGTACTGGCAAGTGTGTGGGTGAGGAATTAGTGTAGTTTATAGCATTAATCTATAAGCTTTTGCTTATCAGTTAATCGACTATACTTTTACATCCCTAGTACAGGGTTCACTCTGATCACGCTGAAAGAGCAGAATTCAGATTTTTAAATTCTATCCTTATTAGTCTATTCTGTCTATGCTCAGAATTCTCTTTCCATGCCCATCATTTTCCATACGTAAAGCCAAATGAATACACATATCTACAGTATGAACAGGGTTTATTGTAACAACTGGTTCCAGAACACAATGGCATGCTCAAGTATTTAGTAGGCCTTAACAGACTTCAACACCTTCTCCCAGCTAAAAGAGCAGTGAGTAGTACATAGCATTTGTATCATCTGCGTGAAATCTGCCATCAGGGAACGAGATCCAAGAGCATCTGTGGTGCTCCTATATTTAAAATGTTTTATTGGCAAAGCAGATGTTACTACCTCTGAATGCAGTGTCCACAAGAACTGCCACGGTCACAGAACCATCTGTCTCTTACAAAAATGATATTTTCCAAAGGAGACTTATTAGACTACACAGGTTCTCCTAGTTACAACATGACACCAGTCTAAAAAAGAAACAGTTAAAAACAAGTTTAATCTGAGATGCAAGAGTAAATGGGATGGTTGACAGGGGGTGAAGAAGGGAAGTGGAGTTGTGCTGTTATAATGAATTATCTGCTGTTTTAAAAGGAAGTTTGGCAGTATATTAAGTCATTCATAATGCACAGGCAGTCCCCGGATTACACGGATCCGACTTACATCGGATCCCTACTTACAAACGGGGTGAGGCAACCCCGCACTAGCTGCTTTTCCCCCTATCAGACCAGGGAGACACAAAGCTAGCGCCCCACCCAGCAGACCAGGGAGACGCGGATCGGCTTTTCTCAGCAGACACCTCAGCTTGAGAATAAAGGACTGAGGGAAGTGAGGAGTGGGAGAATAAAACTGAGCTCTGGAGAAATGTTTGGCTAGAGTTTCCTCTACAATATGTACCAGTTCCGACTTACATACAAATTCAACTTAAGAACAAACCTACAGTCCCTATCTTGTACGTAACCCGGGGACTGCCTGTACTACATGCTTATCTCCAGCAGTGTCAAACACAAAGCAGCAAAAAAGATATGGAAATTCAAAGCTAATTCTGTCAATTGCTCACCCATCATGCATTAGCATTGCATCAGTAACAGAGGAACTTAAAAAGTCTAAACTTGCTAGGAGAGCATAAAAGAGATATTTGAACCTTGAGAGAGTCACTCGAGAGAATACAAAAGCCAGGTAATTAACATTTAATCTTTTGACATATTCATCCCATCTCTAAACTGGGAAAGAGAATAAAGTGGGACTATTCATGCACGCACTTTCACTAATCTTTGTGAAAGAGTTAAAACAGAAATATTAAGGTTAATATTTCTAGTTTAAATACAGCTTAATTCATAGGTTAGGTACTGAATGCCCTGAACAGATTCAAGAGATATTTCACCATATTTCTAAAGTTCACTTACCTCCTGCATTTAGCAGTAGCAATATGCAGACTACACTCTCTTCCCAGTCCCCCACCCCCAAAAGAAGTCCAATCTTTAATTGCTGGCTCCCACTTACTGTGATAACCCAGCATAATGAATTCCGCTGGACTCATCCTATGCATTAATGAATAGTGACAGAGCTTGCAAATGAGGTGCGTGTTGTTTTAAAGTTCTTTTAAATCTTATTCTAATGTGTCACAAAAAAACTTTAAAGAAAACGCACAATATTAGATGACAGACTCACCCTTATAAGTCTGCTCCAACCCTACTCAAAGGTGCGACTGACATCCCCAGCAGAGTGCCTGCTAGGATATCACAGTGAGTGGGAAGCCAGCAGTCATGCATCTGAAAAAACAAGGTAAAGGTTACAAGTGTGTTAAGTGGTTCTGAATTCTATTGGGGGAGGGGAGCAGGGCAGTCAGTAGATAGCCCTTGTAAATTGTATTTGAAAATTATTGTTCAACTTGAGTAGATCTTTGCCATCTCTAACTACTCTGAGTCTACTTCCTTCTAGGGTTACCTTTATGTTTTGGGATTGTCACAAAGTTAAAACAGTGGATGCATGCATGTATATTGACTTAATGCCACCAACAGCTCAACCTCAAAATTCCGGTCATCTGAAGCGGGCTGTGCCCACGAAAGCTCATACCACCATCTACATGTTGTTTAAGATTATCCTGTACAGACTAACTCAGCTACCCCTGAAGTTCAACCGTTGTAATTTTAATACAATTAGGCTGTGGCTCAAAAGGATGGGTCTTTTTTCAAAATGTCACTGGGAGCCATTCAGTGGATTATAGTTATATATTCTCCAGGGGCAGCTTTGTTCCTATATGGAAGGATGAAGTTCCAGGCATCTTTAAACCCTCACATCCATCTCTCCCTGATCAAATAAGATAGGAAAGTCCCAGAAAGTGAATTTGATATGTGAGAGCTACATACAGTTATGCTTCCTCATCTTTGGAAGCCCTAATCCTGCAAAGGTCAAAGGTCCCATATTAATCCTCCACTACTTCTCAGCAGATGTTGAGTCATTAAAAAAAATACAAAGTCCAAAGAACTTGTGAAGTAAGGTGAGCCGTTTACTATGTAAATGCTGAATACATTGGAAACTGCTTCTTCACCCACAGAAGCTGTGTTGCAGAATACTATGTTCAAGAGGTAAATTTTTAATGGTTTTAGAATAGCCCTTGGTGAAAACATAATCCATTTGTTGCACTACAATAAAGGCTTTAGGAATAAAAAAAATCAAAATTTTTATACTCAGAATTGTATAGCTATGTGCTTGAGAACATTGGAAACAGCTTTGTGGAGAGAAAATTAAGCATTTTGCCTTTTTCTTTTAAAAATGTTCCTTCATTCTGCACAAGCCAATATCTCCACCCTACCCTGGAGGGTCCTGTTCATTAGTATGTCCCATTGACCATGGGCAAACTACACATTCATTTTAAAGGAGATTATGTGTGTTAAATACAAGACAAGGTTTACTTAAGACAGACAAGTCATTTAACTAGCCAAACTGTCATGTATCTGCCAGTACTCCACAGCATGCCTGCGTTTGCCAATATCTGCATTATATAGACTCTAATGATAAGCATTGGTGTACCAGCTGTCTCTACGCATTAGTGAAGACACTATTAATGAAAAACAAGCACTGGATCCAATCCCCCAGATATGAGTTTATGATGACTTGTGGAATGGATCTAAGAGTAAGTGAAGAAGAGACCAAAACCAACTGAATTATGACACTTGCACCCTGTTCAACTTTAAACAAATGTCCACTCCTTAGGAAAGCCACTTTGATGTCAGAAAGCTCCCACACACTGTGTCCCATTTCAAGCCAATTTAACTCAAAGTGAATGACAAAGTACGACCATATGTTACATTTTATAAACAAGTGATATTCAAAAGCACATTTTGTAGCAAGATTTTGAAAAGCTTCTAATTATCTCAGTAAACAGGCCTTAAAATATTTCTCTACTAAACCAAGGTCAAATTCTGCATAGAAAGTGAGCCTGTGGAAAGTGCAAAAATCTGTCCTTAAACTTTTTTTTTTTGGTAGAGACACACTGCCTCTTCAGCTTCTAAGAACTGGATGTAGTTGATTTTTTATTAGCATGAACTCCAGTGTTGCACTGGATTTAGTAAAGAAACAGGAATGAACTCAGGGCAGGTTGTTCATTCCAGTAAATGCTGAAGTTTTCAAATAGCAAAATCATAATTATGCATCTGAAAAAAGAATCCAATAGATATTTCTGAAAAGTGTGAGCCATTGGGTTTTTACACACATTGCTAATTTAAATTAAGTCTAAACAAATTTATCAGTATCTTTGTGCTGAAGCCCTACTTTTGCCTTGGGGTTAAGTTACATACCAATGTGAAAGTGAAATTAACAAAATTAAAACAATTGGTGTCCTTTTATTATTTAATCTGATGCTAACAATGGGTAGCCAGCACTAATAAGGAAAATATCAAATCGATTTTTTTAAATGATCGCAATTTTAAACATGTAAGGTTTAAGAAATGGATTTTTGTAATTTTTTTTTTTTTTAAACAGAATGCCCTTTTGAACTAATTTGAAACAAGCCCCTCTCAACTAATGGCGAGCACTAGGGGGAAAAGAAACAAAGTTGCAATAGGAGACTTACTCTGTGATCTTCTTTGCCAGCTCGGTGCAGGCGGCTGTGGAGTTTGCCGAGAAGACACGGTAGCCACTTCTGGCGGCATTCATTGCCAAGGAATCATGCAAACCCCTTGGAGCTCGAAAGTGAGAAAAAACAGATTTATAAGGCAACAACAGCTTTCTTGGCATAGTTTTCCACCTCTCAACTGCTAACACCGCCCCTTAAGGGGTGGGAGTAGTGAGGAAGGGTGATCTCTCCGCAAGCCAAGGATCTCCACAGCCCAGTGCTATTGACGTACAAAAAGCAAGAAAAAATAAAATAAAAGAGCAGCAGTTGCAGCAGGCTCGGATGAACACCTGGCAGTTTCCAAAAGGAGTTCAAAAAGGGACAAGTCAGCCCAGAGTTAACTCTTTTGTCTACCATAAAACGCCACCTGTGGAAGAAGAAATAATTGCTCCCTTTGCCTACAGGGGCTGAACTCAACACGCCTGGAGCAACTTGGCTTTTTGCTTTGGGTTGGCGGGATGTAGCTGGGATCTACGGCACAAAGAAGAAACGGAGGGAGAAGAGCGAACCGAGGAGGGAGGCTGCAGGGGTAGAAGTTTACAAAGAAGCAGCAGCTCCCGGGGGGCTAAAACCAAGCTACTGGGAAGAGGGGGCGACTCAGGCAAGTCAGAGAAGCGGATGGAAGGAGGAAAGCAGAGTCTCAGCGAGCCAGCGTAGGTGCCCCACGGACAACAGATCCTGAGCACCCCGGGCAAGGGGCCAAGGGAGCTGGGAGGAGGGGCACAGAGCCCCAGGCACCCACAAACCAATCTCAGAGCACGGGCTGGAGACAAAAGCTCTCCAGGGGAGGAGGGCGGGCAGCCAGCTAGGCAGGCCCCGGGGTTAAAGGGGACAAGGTGAGGGGCCGCTCAGGCCCAGAGGGGGAGGGGTGGGGGCAACAGGGTGGCGGTGCCCAGGCCGGGGCAGGAAGGAGAGGGTCCTAGGAGGAGCTGGGGCAGTG